AGTAAAAAAAAAAATAAAATAAGCCAAATTAGTTTATAACCAAAAATTATAATTTTTAAACTTTTTTTTATTATTATTTTATAATTTTTGTTTTTACATAGTGTCACCATGGTGACACTGTACTACTTTTGGGGGGTGATGAAGATTTTTAATTTTTTTTTTTTTTACACCGATTGCTTTTACACCCATATAGGATGTAAAAGCAATCATTTATCTCTCTCTGTCTGCATTCTTGCAGCCATTGAGAACTACTGAGTTGTGATTGGTCACAGCTTGTCACATGGTACAAGGCTGTTGTGAATAGCCTTGTACCATGTGACCTTTGTGATCATTCACAGATTTCACACATAGTAAGGAATGATGTCAGAAGTGACATCTTGCTTACTACTTTGCATGTGATCACTGATTGGCCAATCAGTGAACACATGATCGGGACCTCGTACAGAGGTCCCGTCCGACGATCGGTGTTTCACTGTGTCCGGAGGACACAGCGGGCACCGGATCGCGGTGCTGCGCGCTCCCTGGGAACGGCCACCCAACCCTGCAGTGCCACCGTCCGGCCGTATACAACGTCCGGTCGGGAAGTGGTTAAAATAAAGCTATGGCCACAGCAAACACTTTCTTTTTATAACATCAGGATTGTAATAACAATACAAACAAAAGTCATATTTGACATACCAATATAAGCTTCATTGAAAATGTTGCAAGTGCTGCCTGTCTGCTGGTCATCGCTTTCCACAACTTCCTGGACTCCCTGCATGCTTTGCAGCTTCTCTGTTGTTTATGTTCAGTTTCTAAGCACTACATATCCCATGGTACCTTGCTGTTTGCAGTGATTCCTGTACTGACTCCGCCTCCTAAAACTCCTCTCAGCACCTCTGTAGTTCAGAAGGCAGGCTCTGTGAAATGTGTGACACAGCAATGCCTACTCATAGGGCATAGTGAATACGTCACAGAGTTCGTGGAAGTAAATGTGTGGGCATCTTCACAAAGTTTACTAACATCAAGATTGTATGATTAATAGGTGTAGGCTCAAGTGGACACTTTGGCCTTACTAAAAGGTGACATACATTATACACTCTGATTGTACAATTTACTTTAGATCTACCATCAGTAAGGGTCTGCCTGATTTAATACAAATGCATTTAATTTTTTTAGGCGTGTCCTCCTACTACATAGCTTTGTTCAGTCTAAAGGAGATTGTACAATCAAAACATTTAGTGCAAAATAAATAGTTTACCTAAAATATGTCTCCCCTGTAATACTAGCCATACATTATACAATTTTCTTGTTCAATTTCCTTTAGATTTACCTTCAATTATGTACTGTAAGGGCATGTCTGATTACATAAAAATTGAAAGCGTTTAGGTCTGACCTCATATTATATGGTTTTGATAAATCTAAAAGGGAAATTGTATAATGTGTGGCCAGTCTAAGTCCTATTTCATTCACATCAGTCAGGATCATTCTCTTTTACTGAATTCCTCTATCATGATGTGTCTCTAGCTCTTTTAGGGTATTCTATTGCTTCACACTTCGAGTGTGTCTTTCCCTTAGTTTTTCAGGATATATAGCCAGTAGCTGGCCCACATTGTACAGCAGATCTCCTTGTGCTCGATTTGCCCTCATTTTGACAGGCCCATCCCTGGGAAACCAACATCCCCAGAGGGTGTCGCCGGTGGCAGAATGTGCATTTAATTAACCGCTTCCCAACCGCCCTATAGCGGAAATACTACTACAGGGCGGCACGGGTGCGCAAAATCACATGTATATATACATGTAATTTTGCATTTCCGGGTATGGGGGGTGTGCGTGCACCCTACCCACAATGCCATTCGCGGCCTCGGCTGTCAGTCACCAGGTTGGTAATTGTCAAGCATCTCCAATGGGGAGAACTGTTTGTAAACAACAGTTCTCCGCCAGCTCGTGCACACTGCTTTGGATAGTTGTGCAAAGCACAGCCATGCAAAGCAGTGTGCTTACAGTGAAGCACACGGACACAGCACTTCATAAAACAGCACAGAGTTAACCCTTTGATCGCCCCTTATGTTAACCCCTAACTGACCACGCAATTGTCAGTTAAAGTAACAGCGCTGTATCGCAAAAAATGGCCTGGACAGGAAGGGGGGTAAATCCTCTGGAGGGGAAGTGGTTAAACAAGAAAAGTTGTTCCTGTGTTTTAGCTTGGAACTCCAGCAATATGGAAGACTGAGTGGAGTTTTGTGCTCCATCGTTGTGACCTGTGATATGTGGTGGAGGGAGCTTCTAATCTTGTGATGTCAGGTGAAGATGGCAGTTCAGTGATAGGTCACCATACAGCAAACTTTCTAAAGAAAGGGCCAGTTTACTGTCCTTCAGACTTTGGGGGGCCAGACCGTACCCAGTGGGAGTAAACAATGCCCGATTTTGGTATTAGGGGGAAAAGTAGTTGGTGTCAGTGGGAGGAATAGTGCCCCACTGTTGGTGCCAGTGGGACTAATATTGCCCCATAATTGGTGTCAGTGGCAGGAATTGTGCCTCAAGGGCCGGATAAAGGCAAGCAAAGGGCCCATCATCTGGCCACAGTTTGGAGACTACTGCCATACACAATCAATTACCAAGCACTGTAAGTAAAGGAAGGAGCCACACACTACTGTATGGAGCATCTATTCATTACTTTATCCTGACCCCTGAACTCTGCATTACCTAATCCTGTCCAATGAACTTTGCAATACCCAGTTCTAACCCCCTAAACTATGCATCACACTCCTGACCACTGAGTTACTTACTATTGACATCTGCTGCATTACTTAGCTTTCTCAATGAAGCTAAAAAGGTAGGGTACATTTATATTTTTAAAGTGATTTAAATTATTATATTTTTCAGTTTTCATAAAACCTTCTTTTCTTAATATATTCTTGCTAATGTATCTGCATATACACATGTATATTTGAAAAAAAAAAAAAATGCTTGTACATGAGTACTCCTACACTACAAGCCATGATCCCAGAGAGGTCTTTCACTGCCAGGCCCATATATTAGTATGAATCTGACAGCAGAGAGTTTTACACACAATCCAGTGGCTGTAGACACTGGGATTGTGTGTAAACTGAAAAGCAGAATCCTGCCTGTCAGGTGGAAGCATACCAGACATTGTCGGTAATGGCACAAATCCCCCCATGTATTCTGGACTCTGCTTGCCCAACTGAAGGCCTGCGACTGACATGACAGTTACCGCTGGGTAGAGGTGAGGGAGGAGAGCCGACACACGTCCACTCTCCTCCTTGTTGGTGACCCGGAAAAAACGATGTATATGACCTCACTTCCGGTCTCCATTTTACTTTCCTCGGCTTACATACCCAGGAAGGAATGTATTGCAATGCGATCTGCACTGTATTACATTCAATGGAGCAAAGAGTAGGGAGTACCTAGATTTAATTTTGAAAATTTGTTAACCTTTATGTAACATATGGCAACACTTAAAGGGTGCAGCTGTCAAGAGAATGTAACATTGTGCCTCTTAAACTGCTGGCAGGCAGAATCTAAAATGCAGGAAGGGAGTTTAGACATCACTGGTTGCTTGATTGCCACACTGATGCTGACTTTTCTTCCTGGAGCAAACTCAGAACTTGAAAATTTTAAAGAACCCAAGTCAGCAAAGACAGTTCCTATATTTCTTTCCTGACATTATATATGTGACTTTTCTATGAGCAAATACATCAAATCAAAAAATAAAACCAAAACTTATATAAAAAATTATAAAAATTATATATAAAAAAATTTTTATGTCCAAAAATCCCACCTTTCCCACCCTTCTGAAAAAGTCAAAGGAAGTGACGAAACGCGTCAGTGACACGTGACGTCATACGCATCGACGTTGACCGGAAGTGCGATCGCGGCCATCTTGGAAGTGGGAACATGCGGTTTATGTTTCCCTGAACCTGTCCATGTGCATACTGCTTGAGAGGAGGAGCTGTTACCACGAAATTTATGTGAGTTTTAATAAAGAAGAATACCTTTTATATTGTGACTGGTTTTCTGGAGGAAAGTGGAGGAGAAAATCATAATCGTTGGAGGAAATCAATGAGAGGAGATTGTAACCCAGAGTGGTTAATCTGCCCTGCTGTCTCTGCTATAGGGTAATTACCCATCCATATTAGAGTTGGAGAGTGGTGGTTTGGTTATCACTTGGCACGTGTGTTTTACATTATTTAAGGTATGACACTATGTCGAGTTTTTTTCTTTTTTTGAGGTGCATGAATATCAGGATTTGCGGGTATTAAGAAGGTTTTGGTGATGAAAGAAGAAGAAAAAGTTTTAGTGTTTGTATTACACTTGTGAGGATTATTTTTTTGGGACTTTTGATTTTATTTTTTATTTTTATTTTTATTTTTGGACACGGTGGGATTTTTGGACATAAAAAATTTTTTTATATATAATTTTTATAATTTTTTATATAAGTTTTGGTTTTATTTTTTGATTTGATGTATTTTCTCATAGAAAAGTCACATATATATTGTTTAGCTGGCCTTCAAGGGTGAAGGTAGATCACTTTTCTGGGATATTATAGGTTTAAGTGTTGTGATATATAAGTATAAGTTCTTTCCTGACATGTTCCAATATAAATGGCCAACAGTAAATACATGAAACATTTCATTGCATTTTTTCAACAGAATATGCATTTTCAGATAGTAACAAATCATTGTTCAGTTTTCACAGCAACACATTAAAAGAGTGTAAAAACGGTTAAATTGTAACTTTTCTAAGATGGAATAAGGTTACGAAATAAAAACCAAATCCAGCAATAAAATGTATTTTCAAAAGTTTATACAGGGCTGAAAACCTCATTAATGTATACCAAAAGAAGGCATAGGTGACAACTCAAATACAGTTGTGAAATTATTTAATAATATTTAGTAACAAAAAAAAAACAAAACAAAAAAACAAACAAAAAAACAAAAAACACAACTAGTCCCACCAGCCCACAATATTCCCTCCCATATGTTATTTAGATTACAGCACTAGACGTCGTAGTTGGGATTCTTTCTGAGAATGACAAATCCCTCAAGGATGGGTGTCACAGGAAGATATTCCTCTGTTGCCAGTTCTGCCCGCTCACCATGTGCCAGTAACACAGGGGTAGTATGCGTCTGGAAACCAGTGATTGTCTTAGGCTTCCCAGCTTGACCCACAACATCTACAGCCTACAGGAAAAAAAAAAAAAAAAAAAAAGACAAAAAATCATGACTTTAAGGCAATGTAATATGTTCTTTGTTGTTTGGCAAGTCAGTGAAAAGGTCCATAGCAACCAAATCATACATTTCTTTTCTTTTTCATGACAATGACAACTAAAACCTGTTTTTGGGTAACACCAAATTATTTTAAATGTGTGCACATCCTCTGATATAAAAGATGAGGACTCCGCAATTATTTTTTATTTACTGTGGCTATCTGGGCCCTCGAAGTCCAGTTTTTTTTAATTAATCAGTAGGTAAATCATACTTACTTGACCCACTCGAACAGATACTGGTAAAGGCCGCAACTCCTCATCAAATGTGACCAGCATTCGTGGCTGCATTGCAGCTACTAAACCGTAGAGAACGTAATGAGACTTTCCCAAAATAACTAAAAAATAAAGTAAAAATACACATACAGTGAGATACAGCAGCTGCCAAAAGAAAAGGCAAAAACAAAAAAATGGATCAATAAATATTAAGAGGGTCAACATGGAGAAAGAATACATGACTTACTGTTCCTTACATCCAGGAAAGACACAAGTACAGTTAATAACCCAGCCACTGCTACCTGACTCATGAGCTGGCGGTCACTATGATATGGACATAGTGTGAGTGTGCCTTTGCCAAGGTGTGTCAGACCCTGTAAAACATGAATGTCCTCAGTTAAGAGACGGCTGTAAGAAAGTTTAATAGAAAAAAAAAAACCCAAAAAATGAGAACACACACATGTATACCTAAACATACAAATGTTCTACCCTAGCACAAGTGTAGTCTTTTTCCAGAGTTCCATTGTCTCCACACACTTTTTTTCACTGCACAGCCATTAAGGGCCCAAAACCATGCCTATGATCCAAGGTGATGTTGTGGCAACCCCAAAAATCACAAAAACTGTCCCATAGTCTATAGCGAAGTATTCTTTAGATGTTCAAAGGTTTACTGCATAGCTACATTTCTTTACATAAACTAGACCAGCCTTTCTCAACCAGGGTGTCCAGGCATCCTGGGGAGCCTTCAGGCTTTTTTAGGGGTGCTGTGGCAAAATGCTTCAAAACTGCCCTAAAATTGTATACAAGCCAGCAGGTGGATCAAACCTGCTTTTTAGTTATATAAAGCCATAGGTTTTCATTGTGCACTTTTACAACTTGCCAACTTCCAGCATCCATTGATAAGGAGGATGTCGGGTGCCTTCACAGCAATTCTTTTTTGCCCTTCCCCTGCCACTCTTTTATAAGCAGTGGGGGTCACATTAGCTGAGTGATGGAGAGAAACTAAGGGAGAAACATTGGAATACTAGTCAGTACCAGTTTGCAAGGGAATACTTGCTTTGGGAGAATAAATCACCTCTAACGTTGGTTGTCCTAAGCGTGTGGATGTTGCTGCATTATGTAAAACTATTAGAATAGTTTTTCACATTTTAGAATGGGGTGCCTTGAGATTGTGCAGAATGTCAAAGGGTGCCTCAAGATTGTCCATAATTTTAAAGGGTGCCTCAAGATTGTCCATAATTTTAAAGGGTGCCTCAAGATTGTCCATAATTTTAAAGGGTGCCTTGACTTAATGTTTGAGAAACACTGGACTAGACAAATATAACAAGAGTTCTGTACTCAGAAGACTTCAGTTACGTTTGGGATGTACTGTCACCTACAGGAGGTTTGGACACTGGCATACAGAAATATTAAAAGCCAACCCCCTGTATAACCCCTCCTCTACCAAGTATGCCTCAATTTGCTGGAAAAGCAGTACTTGACGCATTAACAGTTGATTTTTGATCCTATTGTCTTTTCTTGTGGTCCTCAGGAAGAAGGGGAATGGGAAATGATGATGATTCAAGGAGGGTTCTTGCACCCCCCGACCCCCATTTTTTCTCCTTCTTTTGATGGTGAGACTACACCTGATCCCGAGTACAGCTGGAATCCTCACCTCACATTTTTCCTTATATATTCCTATATGCCCCTAGTTACATTTGTCTTGGAGTACACAGGAGGGAAAAAAAATAGTTGCACATTGTGTTGCACTGAACGATTATTTTTCACCTATTCCACAACTGGTCCAATTACCATAGGTGCAATCTTCAGTATATTTTGGCTGTTTAATGTTTATAAGGAGGTGTGCACATTCCGCACACCAGCAGGTGAGTATTTCTAATGTGCATTCTAGTCTGTACATTTTTTTTTTTTAATTAACTTTTTGCTCTCTCTCTCTCATTTGTAAACTTATGTGACTTGTAACAGAAATGCCTACATGTGATAGTGCCATGCAGAATGGACTGTGTATTGTACGAGCACAATGTATTAAATAAAGAATATTAAAAAGTGCTATTTAACTTCTAAATACTTTTTACTGGTTTTAAAATTGGGGAAACAAAGAAGTAGCAAAAACACACTGACATACAGATATACAGTAGGTAAACATTACAGCATTTTGAAAGAACTATGATAACACAGATGTATACCCTTGCATGACATGAATCCCTGAGGGACTCAGACACACATAGTTGGAAGTATAGCACATACATTTCAAACGGTCTTACTCTTATGTGGAGTGTATGGTTATACAAGTCTATAGCAGTATGACAGCATGCAATATAAACAGGGTTTTGAAGTAATCAGAGTATGGATTTGGGCTTGGACAAAAAAAAAGGGTTATTTTCTTTCCCCTTTAATGAGGGAAAAAAAATTCAGATACAGTTGAGATATTAAAAAAAAAAAAATCCAACTGAAGGGGTAGGAAACAATCATGACAGGCCCAGAAGGGCGCTTAGGACTGACTCAGAATCAATTCAAGGACCTTTGCCTGAATCTGAACTTGAGGAGGTGAACCCCGTCCACAGCCAGGGAGCAGAGGGGGTCCCCACACCAAGGACTACCTAATCCTTAGAGAAAATGTGAGTGTCTTACTTAGAGCCCAAGCCCATAGCAATAGGGGGGTAAGAAGGGCCAAGAGCAAAAGAGAGAAGGGGAGACCAACCTGAGGGAGGGTTCCCCCAACTCCCAATGCAAAAAAGACAGAATTCCCTAACTGTTAATGAGAGGCCCAATTGCACACAGAGTGCAGACCTTTTTAAAGAGTTAATACCTGCACTACCTAAAAACAAAAATAAACCGCACCTGCAGACACAAGGTGCCCACAGCACCTTGAAGACTTAACAAAAACTCCACAGGGGGTGCAGCACTGTTCAGCCAATTGGTAAATTGATAATATATCAAACAAACATTATATCATAAAGTCCAACTTGATAATACGATTCCTCATGTGAACTCAAAGTAGGACTCCATATAATGTCCTGCAGTCCCTTGTTATTTTGTTCTTCCACTTCAAACTGTCCCATCGGCTTTCTATGGTATGGGTATGCACTCCTGTCCTTGGGTTGATAAAATGGTGCTTATGATTGACCTTGAATCATCTCTCCTTTAGCTCTAGGAACAGTATGCTCTCCACAAATCCAAATACTGCAAACTCTAATTTCATGTCCTTGATTATATGGTATAGGAGATTAGTCAGATTTGTCAGGGTCTAAAAGGAAGCATTCCCTGCAAATTCCCCCAAAAACCCACTGTTGAAGCACACGACCTATATTTTTCAAAAAATTGGTGTGGTAAATGGAAAACGTAGAGAGCACTGTCATTCATAAGTGACAATATTCAGCAGTCAGACTGCAGTTATGTGAGAAAGTCTCTAACACCAAGGGAAGAAAATTCTCTATACCGAAGCCCAAGACTGACTCAGACATTGAAACCATGCCCCTCCACCTCCTTTCTGGTTCTAGGGATGAGGGCTCATCATTGGCAGATATCACAAGAAGGAGCGTCGGCAACTCATTTCAACACCAGAGTAAATTGTCCCCCTCTCCCAGATCAATTTCAATGGCTCCCACATAATTGAAAAGTGGAGGCAAAAATGCAAAAGTACCTAAATATCTAATAAAAAACATCTAACATGTACAATATTACAACAAATACCCACAGCCACTCTTACTCCATCCATTACCAACTGCACATTTGGTAATAATATTTTTTTCCCTACCTGTGCCAATCGCACCATGAAAAGATTGTTGGGGTCTTTAGCATGATACTGGGCCAACTGCCGCAACATTGCAGCAAGACGGGCATTGTTGGTTCCTAAAGAAAGAAAAATGAAACATGGCTTTTATACTCAGTTCCCAGTACAAATACTAGGTTATAACTCTAGGAGGTGATAAAACTTACCACTGCCCACCATGCCCATAGCAAAGATGGAGTTGTAGGAAACTTCAGGGTCTGCATCATGAGAGAATTTGCTCAGAGTATCCAGGATATTCAGCCTTGGATTGGACACAGAGATGAGAGCTAGAGCCAAAGGAACAGCTCTGCGGAGCGTGGGCTCACCATATCTTAGCTATTAGGAAACAATTGGAAGAAAAAAAAAAAAGTTAACTGAAAAATTCTAAATTTTGTACTCTCTCTAAAATCCTTTTCTAGGAGTCTATTGAGGGACACAGGAATTCAGATGCAGCTAGGTTGTACTCCTGCCAACAGGAGGATTGCACACGGACAAACAATTGTAAGACAACACCAAGATGCCACCTTCTCTACCAAGCATGCCTTAGTTTTGTAGCAAGTACCAAAAGCCAGAATAATCCTATTATCTCTCCTATCCATTGAGAGTCGGTCACAGGAATTGAAATACCATCAAGACATCCAAAAGCAGTCCAACTAAGAGGTTTGTAACACAGTAACAACTGCTAAGAGGCCCAAAAATAACATGGTACTTGATGTGGTCAATAGAAAACCCATGGACAACCCAAAAAGGAACCTAGGTTAAAAACAGGTCCAAGTGAGCCAGACCCACCAGTATATATGGGAAAACATAAGGCCCTTACACCCATAGGTCATCTGGATCAAAGGGATGGAAACTTCAAGGCTATAAACGTTGTCTGGCCAGACAAACAATTTGGTATCAGCACAACACAACAGCCCACAAGGGATGTGAAGTGACTGCCAAGATCGCCAGAGAATTCATGAAGTTCAGTCACACAAAGTTAGTGTGACTGAAGGGGCAAGGTGCATGGGAGGCACTCCTACAAGGATAGGCAAAAATGGAAGTTAGGGATTTAGACCCAAACTGGGATTAAGGAAGATCTGATCTGACGGCCTGATTAGATTGGACAAAGAAGAGCTTCCTTATTGGGCAATAATTTGCAATGTGGGCTAAATGAATTGGACAAGTAAAAAATTAAAAGAATTGTTTATATTTACACCTAAGATCAGTTTAATACATTTAACAATTTATATAAATTGTTTTTAAAACCATAGTTGCTGTGTATTTGCAATCATACACTGCTCAAAAAAAATTAAACGGAACACTTTTTAGTACTGAGTATAGCATCAAGTCAATTAAACTCCTGGGATATTGATCTGGTCAGTTAAGTGGCAGAGGGGGTTGTTAATCAGTTTCAGCTGCTTTGGCGTTATGAAATTAACAGGTACACAGATGGGAAACAATGAGATGACCTCCAAAACAGGAATAATTTTACAGGTGGAGGCCTCTGACATTTTTTTCCCTACTCATCTTTTCTGACTGTTTTTCACTAGTTTTGCATTTGGCTGGGTTCAGTGTCACTACTTGTAGCATGAGGCAATACCTGAACCCTACAGAGGTTGCATAGGCAGTCCAACTCCTCCAGGATGGCACATCAATACGTGCCATTGCCAGAAGGTTTGCTGTGTCTTCCAGCACAGTCTCAAGAGCATGAAGGAGATTGCAGGAGAATGGCAGTTACTCTAGGAGAGCTGGACAGAGCTGTAGAAGGTCCTTAACCCATCAGCAGGACCAGTAGCTTTAATGGGATCTCCCGTCCCAATAGCCCCACCGGCTAGTAACAGGGACAAACAAAGACTGGATTGACTTTGTTCGACGAAATTCCACTCTCCTACCCTTCTTTCTGTAACCCAGAAGGCGACCAGTGTGACGTCACTTGCGGGTTACTGCTGTCACTTTCTTCACATAGGGGACTTTGTGTCCCCTATGTGATGAATAAAAAAAAGAACATCCACCCCACTAAAAACTGTTGAGGCCCTCCCCACCCCCACATACATCCATGTATGAACGTAAACACATACATCAGGGCGCCTAGGTGTGAAACCGTCGATTGCGATACATGTTACATATCGCCGTGTGTGTGTCAGAGTAGGAGCAATAAATGCAATAAAAGAGCTTTTGACGATAGGGTACTAAAGTCTGTCGCCATTTCATAGGAGCACACAAATTTATAGTTTGGCATGTTGGGTATCTATTTACTCAGGGTAACCTTCGTCTTTTTTTATTTTACTTATATAATTTGAGTAATTTATTACGTACGTTTGGCCTAAAATTTACTTTAGTGTGTTTTTACTGAAATTTTGCAATTCCCAGACCTTTGCAACAACATCGCATGACATAAAAAAATGGAACTACCACTATTTTATTCTAAATGGCGGACCACAGTCCGAGAACAGCCCCAGCAGCGCTCCCTTCTGGACCGCCAGCCCGCAATGACAGATTCGCTACTAAGCAACACAGAATGTGCCCATCAGAGTGCTCCTAAACATAAAATGTGCCCATCAGCACAAAGGGCTCATTTTATGTTAGGGGCACTATGATGGGCATCTTTTATGTTAAGGGGGCACTGATAGGCACGTTATATTAAGAGGGCACATGCTATGGAAAGGGTACATGATGGAAAAGGGCACTCTGATGGGTAATATGAAGGAAAGGGGTACACAGATGGGGAAATATGATGGAAAGAGGTACTTTGAGTGTAAAGGGGGCACTCTGACAGGAATACCTGATGTAAGGTGGCACTGTGATGGGGATACCTGATGTAAAGGGGCATTCTGATTGGGACAACTGATGTAAAGGAGCACTCTGATGGGCACACCTGATGTGATGGGAATACACGATGTAAAGTTGCACTGTGATGGCAACACCTAATGTAAGGGGGCACGCAGCTGATGGGCAGTTTTAAATAAGGATAAAAAAGAAAAAACATTTTTTAATGCAACTATATGATTTTAGACAAAGACAGAAACAAACAGCCAATAGTTTTGTGACTAAAGGCCACTAACACACATTCTGCATACTTTCATTTTTGGAGGCTGGTTTTGAAGCTTTAAATTTTGACAACCTCACAAAAAATGGATGGGTTCTAATTTATGAAACATTTAAAAACAATTTAACATCGCATTAAAATCAAAAATGTTTTGCAGGATTATAGCTCAGGAAACTTAAAGCAGAACTAAACCCAACAACTTAACGGTTTCCCAAAACAGTTACATTCAAGGCATGCCATCAATGATAACGGTCACATTAGCTTTGCTCTCAACCGAACTGCCAAGCCATCAAATGGCTGGTGTCATAACTGATCACATGTGCAGCACCACTGCAACTGCAGATCAAACAGAGGCCAAGACAGCAGGCTTCTTTGTGTATAAAAGGATAGGGCGTTTTGTTCGACTTTAAGATCAAACTTAACGCCCCACCCCTTTTACCCATAGAAAATTAAAACAGTTGTAAAAAAAAGGTTTATTTTTTTTAAACCTTAATGCATTCTCCGCATCAGAGTAAAAAAACCTTTCCATGTCAGCTCCCTCCAGCCCCCAATTTAATACTGAGGCCTACATCGATCCAGTGCTGTGCCTGTTTGCAGCAGTGCTGCTCTTCTTCCCCAACTTCTCACAGGAAGCTAGGCAGCAGCAGGATGTGCACCTCAGTGAACAATTTCAACATATGCCCAGATGAATGACCTCCCATACATGCACACGAGTTATGTTATCCCGGCAAAATCCCAAACCCAGAAGATGATCAGGCAAAGATGTTGGCACCAGCAAGAAGTGCTGGAAAGGAGGGCAGCATTGTTCTGCTTTAACAAAGGGTAACCAAAGCAATTTCTCATTATATTGAGTATTAGATGAATACAAACTAAAATATTTCCTGACAGCAGAGGAACAATTCACTGTGTATTAAAAGACCATTACCAGATGTCCAAAGGTGCGCAGTGCCATCTCTGACCCAATTTCTTCACCCATGGCAATAAGAGCAATACCCAAGACCGCCACACCCTAAACACAAAAAAAAAAAAGAAAAGAAAAGAAAAAAATTAGGTAGTACCTCAGCATTCAGCTGAAAATAAATATTTTTACAGGTAAAGCTGCATATAAATATTAAATCTTAACATCCTGAGTTTTTATATAATGCTCTGTTAATGATATACTATATTATGCAATATATTGAATAGATGGATTTATGTCTAAGCTACAGTTAAGATGTTACCTGGTGAGATCCCATGTCTGCAGCAGTCTCTTTCTTCTCCTTTTTGTCCTTCTTCTCTTCTTCTTTTTCCTTATTGTCATAATGTTCACTGCAGATATGCAAAAGCTGCTGCACTTTCAAGACATTCCCAGAACCTGTAAAAAAGCAAAACATACTACGTACTCAGATGATGTACTAATGCTGGCTATATCTCAATTTCAGCCTAAATACAGCAGTGCAAGTTACCAAGATTAAAGCAGTATTAAACCCAATAATCAATAAGTAATATATTCACCAATCTTAGATGTGTCAGCTGCATTAGTTTTGTTGTTTTAGGCATTTTTAGCCTCTGTTTTTAACTGCTGAGCTGGCCATTAACACACCTCCTGTATTAGAGTGCCTACACTTTGGATGAAGGAGCAACAGACACAGCTTTGGGCAGCAGCATTGTCAATCTAGGGGGAGGGTTGCGTTAGATGTACTAGCAGATTTAAATACACAAACCAAAGCCAAACTCCAACTCACACTTTTAAGCAGTTACAGCAACAGATTTTTACCTTCTGGGTTAAAGAATAAATGGTAAATCATTGTAAGTACCCCTTGTCAGTGTTAAATGGTTTGTTTCAACCCTCTAACTGCTACATCTGCATGACAGCTTGTTCTGTTGAAAAATTGCAGACTTACTGGCTAGATTATCAGGTGAAAGCAAGGAAAGACTAATTCAATGTGTTTATTCAAGACAATTGGGTTTGACTTAACAAAAAATTTATAAAATTTAAAACAGTTGAACAATTCCATTACCTTGACAGAAACCAATCTGCTATAACAAAAAACACACACACTAACTCCTCTATAACTTGAGACTTCTCACTTAAAAAAAGAAAACTAATGCAGCCACCACACCTAAGAATTGGTAAACTGTGATATAATAAAGGTTTGCTTTTGGGATTAATAAGTAATAACAAGCAGAAAATGTTATTATACATGATTTAACCAACAGTTTGCACAGCGCTTAACAACAAGAGGGCAGACACTACAGTTACAATACAATTCAATACAGGAGGAATCAGAGGGCCCTGCTTGTTAGAGCTTACAATCTAAAAGGGAGATTCAAGTGATACAAAAAGGTAATAACTGTGTGGGATGAGCTGATGGAGAAAAGTGGAAATCCAGTTGTTAGGTGGGTAGGCTTCTCTGATGAGAAGGGTTTTCAGAGATAGCCTAAAAGTGGACAGAGTAGGAGATGGCCGGACAGATTGGGATAGGGAGTTCCGTAGGATGGGACAGGCTTGGGAAAAGTCTTGGAAGTGAGCATAGGAGGTGGTGATATCACCATAATCCATACCACCCAATTATAATAATTTCAGGTAAATTATTTCAAAAGGCCTAATAAAGCCAGTAGTGATGAAAAAGAAACTTGAAGATTGCAACATCCAAGGCAAGCAGCTAGACACAATGAAAAATAAAACAGTGATGTTGTTCATTCAGAAAAAGAGCAGGAGTCAAAATGTAGATCATGGTTTAACACCCTTAAAACGAAGCACACACTGTTTAATTTACATTGTCCCTTCTATTTCTGTATATGGATGATGACACTAATTAAAAAAATCGAAGTACCTTTTTCCTAATTGATATACAGCTGTGATTCTGGGGAAATGCTCAGCATAGAAACTCACTGAAGCTGAGCATGTGCAGAGTTGCCACTACAACTGAAAAATCCCTAGCTGAACTGGGGATATGAACAAAAGGTGGAGACAGTAGAAGGATCAACCAGGTTTTTTGCAGAATACAGAAAACTAATCTCGTATAGACGGAGTATGAACAGCATGTAGTACAGCATTTATTGATAGTTTTAATGATATGGGTTTAGCGACACTAAGAAAAAGTAAGTAACTTGCCAGCATATGCACAGATGTCCACTAAGGTGTTGGCAAAGCTCCGGAATGGCTCAGAAACAACCTCCAGTGCAGCAAGAATAGCCTCAATGGCTTCACCTTTCCCTGTATAAGAGAAAAACAAAAAACTATAGGTTTACCTAGCCCAAATGTTTAACCAAAATCTGCATCCACAATCTTCTGACATCTCTTACCCAGATGGTTCAGTCCCAAGCCAAGAGGAAGCCAGCGAGCAAAGGTGTCCTTCAACTCCTGTTCTGATTTCTCCATAATGGTCTGAAGTATGGTGGATGTTACATCCCCGTTACAGGATCCCACAGCAATCATACCACAAGCAAGAGCTGTCACTCCAACCACCTGTGTGTGATTAACCATAAATATATATCTATATCCAGGAATAATGTGATCACATTTCAGAGATGAAGGAATTAACTAATTTAATTGCATAAACTCAAATCAATTCTCAGTCAAGCAAGGTACTTTAAAGTAAAGCTATTTCTGCTACTCATCATAATGTTCATGAATAGAAAACATGCATGCAAATTACTGCCACTTGTCTAGCTCACCTAATTAAAGCAAAACTTTAGGCGAAGGCATGAAAATTGGCAGACAGGCAGGATTCTTAACTACCTGCCGACCGCAGATAGCCGAATGACGGCTTCACTGCGGCCGGCCAGTTCTGGGTGGACGTCATATGACGTCCTCCCAGAACGCGCTCTCCTGCGCGCCCCAGGGGGCGCGCACCCGGCGATCTCCGTGATCGCTGTGTCCTACGGACACAGCTGATCGCGTGATGTGGTAAAAGGCCAATCACAGCGGTCTTTTACCACCTGATCAGCGGTGTCCAATGACACACTGATCAGAGGAAAATGCAAGTGCCGGTTCTCGGCTGCACTTTCCTCACGCTGTCAGATCGTGAGGAAAGTACTGCCGAGAACCGGCAGTTGTCAGAGCGGGGATCGGCACCGATCATCAGGGCACTGATGATCAGTGCCCTGATGATCGGTGCCCAGCAGTGCCACCCGCAAGCTCCGCCCACCTGTGCCCAGCAGTGCGCCCACTAGCTCCGCCCACCTGTGCCCAGCAGTGCACCCACCTGTGCCCAGCAGTGCACCTACCTGTGCCACTCTGCAGTGTCACACACCTGTGCCCAGAAGTGCCACCCACCTGTGCCTAGCAGTGCCACCCACCTGTGCCCACCCACCAGTGCCACCAGTCAGTGCCCAGGGGTTGTGCCAGTCAGTGCCGCCAGTCAGTGCCCAGCAGTGATGCCAGTCAGTGCCGTCTGTCAGTACCCATCATCAGTGTCACCTATCAGTGCCGCCTATCAGTGCTGCATATTAGTGCCGCCTATCCGTGACACCTCATTAGTGCTGTCTATCAGTGCCGCCTATCCGTGACACCTCATTAGTGCTGTCTATCAGTGCCGCCTATCCGTGACACCTCATTAGTACTGCCTATCAGTGCCCTTTAGTGCCGCCTATCAGTGCCGCCTATCAGTGCCGCCTATCAGTGCCCATCAGTGCCCATCAGTGCTGCCTCATCAACACACATCAGTGAAGGAGAAAAATTACCTGTTTGAAAAATTTTATAATAGAAACAAAGAAACATTTTTTTTTTTCAAATTTTTTGCACTTTTTGTATTTATAGCGCAAAAAGTAAAGCGCCCAGTGGCGATTAAATACCACCAAAAGAAAGCTCTATTTGTGAGAAAAAAATGATCAAAATTTCATATGGGTACAATGTTGCATGACCGTGCAATTGTCAAAGTGCGGCAGCGCTGAAAGCTGAAAATTGGCCTGGTAAAGAAGGGGGTATAAGTGCCTGGTAGGCAAGTGGTTAATGCAGAAAAGACATGCTTTGTCTCTTCTTACCTGCCTGTCCGCCCCTGTACAGAGAGCCATGAATACGCAAGCTCACTGTACAAATTCGGAATCTGACTGATTTGGCTTCAAAGCAGCATCAATTCTTACACTTGCACAAAGTCAAGGATTTTGTAGCATTTGACACAGGTGTATGATTAACCAATTTCTGCAAGCAGGTCCTAATTATCAACAATTTTATACGCAAGTTGAACACAGACATTAACAAACAGAAATTGTTGTGTAGTAAACTTAAAACTGAGCAAGGAACAGCCAGACTCTGCTAAGATGGGGTTGTGGAAGACAGTTTTAAGTCACAGGTCATACACCATGGACCTGTGACTGAATACAGCAACAAGGCACAAGATAGTTTTACTGCATCAGCAAGGTCTCTCCCAGGCAAAGATTTCAAATCAGACTGGGGTTTCAAGATGTTCTGTTCAAGCTCTTTAGAAGAAGCACAAAGAAAAAGGCAACATTTAGGACTGAAGCCACAGTGGTAGGCCCTGGAAACTTATAGTGATACTAAAAGGTTTGGGTTTTTTTTTTTTTTTTTTGTACTATAACAAACATGTTATACTTACCTGCTCTGTGTAGTGGTTTTGCACAGAGCAGCCTGGATCCTCCTCTTCTTGGGTCCCTGTAAGCTCTCCTGGCTCCTCCTTTCTATCAGGTGCCACCACAGCAAGCAGCCTTGAGCCTTTAGAACCACTTTAATACAGCAGATGAAAAACACATCATGCTTACTTCCCTTTGATATTGGAAGATGTCCGGCTGAGCCATCAGCACAGAACGGATGGAAACCAGGGGATACACCCATCTACTGTCTGGAGAAGTCTGGCCGAAATGGTCTTCATGGAAGAATTGCAGCCAAAAAGCCAAACCTCCGACATGGAAACAAGGCTAAGCAACTCCACTTTGCATAAAAACATAGCAAATGGGATGCCTAAAAATGACAGCTGGTGCTCTGGACTGATATTCTAAAATTTTAAACATCTGGCTATAGCAGGAGGCAGTTTGTTTGCCAAAGGGCTGGAGAGTGATACAATAATGACTGTCTGGAGGCAACAGTGGAGCATGGTGGAGGTTCCTTGCAAGTTTTGGGCTGCATTTCTGCAAATGGTGTTGGAGATTCGGTCAGAATGAATGGTATCCTCAATGCTGAGAAATACAGACAGATACTTATCCATCATGCTATACCCATCAGGTAGGAGTGTGATTGGCCCAAAAGCAGCAGAAGCAGGACAATGCCCCCAAACACACAGCCAATGTAATCAAGAACTATCTTCAGTGTAAAGAAAACAAGAAGTCCTGGATGTGATTGTTTGGCCCCCCCAGAGCCCTGATCTCAACATCATCGAGTCTGTCTTGAATTACATGAAGAGACAGAAGGATTTGGAGGCAACCTACATCAACAGAAGATCTGTGGTTAATTCTCCAAGATGTTTGGAATAACCTACCTGCCAAGTTCCTGCAAAAAACTGCGTACAAGTGTACCTAGAACTGATGCTGTTCTGAAGGCAAGGGGTGGTCCCACACATACATACACACACGGTAAAATAAGTATTGATCACATCACCATTTTTCTGGAAAAATATATTTCTAAAGGTGCTACTAACATGAAATTGTCACCACATGTGGGTAAAAACCCATGCAATCCATACATATGAGACCAAACAAATAAGTTCAGAAATTAAGTTATGTGTATTAAAATAGAATGACACAGGGAAAAAAAAAGTATTGGACATGCTGAGTGATCACTGGTCATGCGATCTTGTAAGCTCTCAGTTTCATAGCAAGTGTTGGACAGCAGCAGAGTCACAACGATGTTATAGCCAGAGGCGAGTGTGTTGGGAGTTTTTTCTTCTTAGTAACCCCAAACCTTTAAAAGCTAGCTACATGAAATAAGCATATCATGACTTTAACACTAGTAACATGACCACAGACAATCAGACCTTAGCAATGCTAACAGCTCACCTCCATACTGGACTTTGAATCCCCCATTACTGGAAGCAGCAGTGTAAGAACGTCCTCACGATTAGATCCTGCATAAGCAAGCCCAAGCCTAAAGGCCCAGAAAGTTATACAACATAAATTTAGGACTTCTTGACATTCTCATTCCACATAATTACAGTTCACAGCACAGGTGTATTAAGTTCACATCTATTTATTGTATTTATAATTGTTCATTCTTATCTTTTAGTATACCAAAATAAAACTATTCTACACTAAACAGCAGCCATAGTCATAAGAAAAAGCTGATGTACGAGAGTTCCAGATTTTGAGAAAACTGGATTACAAGTTTACATTTCTCCTAGATTTCTCGCATATACATGTTCATAATATAGCTACAGTGGGTATAGAAAAGAATCACCCTCCTTTAAAATAATTTTTCCCGTATGTGCTTGCTGCTTACAGCTAACAATAAATTAAATCATGCTAGATTACCAGGTCCAACAGAGCATCATTCCTAGTTGGGGCCTCTATGAACTGTACCATAAAATTGTCCTGTAGTAGGTTTAAAAATTTTTGCCCTTTAACTGCTCCTGCAGTACAATTACTTCAATTTCCAAGTAGTTAAAATCCCCCATTATTATCATTGTCCCAGCCCTTGAACTGAGAAAATACAGCTGGATAAAACGAAAAACTGCATGTCTTCATTTCAGGCTGCAAAAGAACAAAATGCGGGGAGTGATTCATTCTATACCCACTGTAGTTTGCCTTCAAAAGGGTGCCTTTTTGCTCTGCTATGCCTTTTGCAAAATCTAGGATTTTGGATTCCAGGAGTGAAGGCAAAATTTTCCTTTCTTAAGCCCAGTCCACACCTTCAATTTACGTGAACTACATAGCATTAACCGCTTGCTAACTGGCAGCAGTACCCATACATTGCAGTGAACTTCCTGGTTTAGAGGCATGTGCCCCCTGCTAGTCCGTGCTGTGCCTGGACACTGCACAAGTTTGTCAGCAAGTTAGGCCAATTATTTTCGCTGTATACCTGCTGATCGGCTGTGGTCAGTCACAGCACAGAGATCAACACACAGAGATCAACACACAGAATTCAACACACAGAATTCAACACACAGAATTCAACACACAGAATTCAACACACAGAATTCAACACACAGAATTCAACACACAGAATTCAACACACAGAATTCAACACACAGAATTCAACACACAGAATTCAACACACAGAATTCAACACACAGAATTCAACACACAGAATTCAACACACAGACTCTGGCTGGACTTCTCCCTGCAATCAGTTACCATTCAGAACTGAAAGCAAAGAGAGACCCAGTCAAATCTGTAAGAAAAAGCAGCACACATACACTTGCATACACTTGTTGGACATAGTTAACCCCTTGATTGTCCTCCTGATCACTCCTGTCACCCAGCCAGTGTCATTAATACAGTGTACAGTATTATCACTGTATTAGTGTCATTACAAAATCAGTGTTAGTTAGCGTCCCTCCCAGCCAGTATCTTGATCATAATTACAACTATACTAGTGTTTCCAATATCCCAATAGTATAGTGTCCCCAAAATAATACTTTGGTTTGTAGCAAAGACATGTATCAGAAAATATTTTGTCCTAAATTAAGAAATTTGATTTTATTGGATATGTTTTATAACAAAAAGTAGAAAATATAGTGTTCAATAAAAAAAACCGAGTGGTGATCAAATACCACTATAAGAAAGTTCTATTTGTGTGGAAAAATTATATAAAAATTTAATTTGGGTAGTGTTGCATGACCAAACAAGTGCCAGTTAAAGTGGCAACAGTGCTGAATAGCAACATAATGCCCTGTTCATGAGGGGGTAAACCATTCCAGAGGTCAAGTGGTTAAGTTTCTGATATAGCCATTTTAGAGAAAGTCATCACAGAAGGCAGCCCTGTGATTAGAAACACTTTGTTTTCTGGTGCTAGGCACAAGGTCTACTTCTCCGTATAAGAAGCACTTGAAATGTGTAGTAAGCAATAAAAGGCTAGGATTTATTTTTGTTTTGTATTTTTTGTGAAAACACTGTCTTTGTTTGCTTGATGCTGCATACATAGCAAAACAGCTGTGTGGACTCTTGCTCTCTGTAAATAAAAACCCACAGAGGTATCTGCCCCAAAAGTGAAGAAAATAAGGCTGCTATCATTACAGTATCCTTAGATTAGTTACAAAAGTGTCCAGTACTCACCCAAAGATGGCACCAAGTCGCATTGTGTTGCTGTTATGTAGAACATAGTCTGACAACAGAGCCAAAGCTGGGTCACATTCATTTCTCACCCCAGAATTCACAATTCCACAGGCTAAGAGAGCTCCAGACTGCAAAGGAGGCGATTACATTAAGCAAATGTTGAAATGCCTTAGTGGATAAAAAGCTAATGGCACTAAATTAAACTGAAGAACTGAACAACACTGCTACCTATATGTTAAAAGAAGGAAGCTTCAAAACTCACCTTGATGTAGTCTTCTGAGGAATATAAATATTTGTCTATCTGAGTTAGGCCACCATCAACGTCCCACAGAAGAATCATTCCCAAGGAAGCAGCAGCACTGAGCATTCCTAATGAAATAACATTGCAAAAGGTCATACTGGAGTAACATGGGTAAAAAATAAAAACAATGGCGACACAGAGAACAAAATAACAGCATGGCAGTCCTTACCATGATCCTTGTTTTTATACAGCCATTTGTTTCCATCATCAGTCAGCAGCTTGTCTTGACCAAAGGCAGCATTAACAAATCCATTCACAAATGATGAGGCTAGATTCATCCGAGCTGAATCTACTTGTGATCCACTGCCTCCAAATCCTATTAAAAACATTCTAAATTTTATAAACAAACCATATAATTACTTGTTTCAAAATTACACTGTCTGCTCTATAAACTCACTGTTATTTTCCAGGTGGGTTTTGTAAATGTCATCTGGCACCTTGGGCTCCATAATATCCAACTAGGGAGGAAAACAATTGCCAAAAAAGGATTCATTCACGTGATAATTAAAAAAAAAATAAATAAATAAATAAACACAATTATCAGGATTTTCACCTCACGAGCCAGAGCCAAGAAGTTGCTGTTTAGCTGAACATTTGACATGATTTCTGTCAAATCCTCATACTCTTCCACATCCTCATTCAGACTAAGATAGACTCCATGGCGGCCTAGCATAAACGCCATTTGTTTCTGTATAACGCTAGATTTAAAAAAAATAAAAAAAAAAACACAGCTTAGATGCAAGTAAATATTTAATATCTGTTCACAAGGATATTTTAAAAGAGAAAGCCAGCTTTCAAATAAGTGAATAGGAATATTCATAAAATCACAGATATACTGTTCAAAGACTAAATGAGTGATGAGAGTTGTACAGACTTAACTATTTAGGATGGTTTGCTATGTATTGTGTGAAATGAAGTACACAGCAATGCCCACGTCACCAAGAATTGTACAGATATGCAGGTATAAGGTCACCAATTTGTGGAAAAAGGAAAACATAAAATATCTACATATGTTAAGTGTTAGGTACCTTAACACATTCTATTCCTGTCCTTTCAGAACTGTTTTTTAGTACTTGCTCATAAAAGCAGCAAGGACTGTTGCTCCTCTGCAAAGCAATCCATGCTCAGATCGCTTTTAAGAGGCATTTGACAGGCGGTAAAGAGGCAATATGTTGCCTCCTCACCACCTGTTTTAAACCCCGTAAAAAAAAAAAAAAAAGGCATCCCCATACCACAACTGCATGCAATGCGCACACAGTTGCGGGGTGGTTTGAGTTCAACCCTATCCAACTGGAGGTATATTTTCAGCTGCGGACACAGCATGTGTATACCCCCAGCTGCTGCTTCTGCAGCTAAAGGTGGAGCAGTTGGGGGTGGTAAAAGCAGCTCAATTGCAACCACACAGGTGAACAAGCCCTTGGTTCAGATCTGTGTGGCTGTGTGTAGGGCGGCCCATTCATTTCAATGGGCTACCTTACTCACAGAAATGCAGTGAAAGCAGTCCATGACCATTTTTTTTTTAAAACTGCACCATAACAAAAACGCCCTAATTGGCCAGTGTATGGGTGAACCCCTAAAGAGCACAGCAGTTGTCTGCGTGTCAGAAATGAGCACAATTTTGTGTGTGTTCTGCGACACACAGTAATGTGAACCAAGCCTTGGACAGGGGTGCCTTGTGACTGAAAATACTTTTCAAGGGCACCCCGACTGTAAAAAGGTTGAGAACCACTGCCTTAACATGCAAGGTCCTATTCAATAAAGCATTGCAAATAAATGTATGCACACCTGTTTAATGTAGTCGGTTAAAGTAGAACTAAAAGCCAAAACTTTTTTTTCCCCTCATTTTGGATAGAGTAGGAGGTGGTTATAACACCTATCAGTTATTTGTGTCCTACAGGGGAGATTTTCCTTCATTTCCTTTTCCAAAGTCATAGCAGGTAGTGAGGGAAATCTCTCTAAAGTGAGAGAAGTCCCCCCTTAAACAGCAGTCACCCAAAGTGTATCTAATTAAAGATTTCCCTTCTATTTCTGTGGCAACAAGTTTTGAATTTTCTCTCACTTCCACTCTCAGGGACATAGGTCACCAGGACAAAGTGTAAACAACCCTTACAGGGACAGACAGCAATAAAAACCTGACATTGGTTCAAATCCCACTTTGGCTTTAGAAAACCTTCAATTTACCAACCTCTTAAAGCACTTTCCTTCTGTAGTCTTGACCTGGGTTTGACACCTGTCATGAACAGAAGGTATTCCATAAAAAGAGGCCCTCCAGCTTGGTCTACCGTCAGATAATGCATTTTCCACTGTCACTTCACTCAGAATTCTAACTTAACAGCTAAAGAATAACTGCTTTTTTATACAAGTAGAAATCCATTGACAGCATTTGTGTGTCCTTAAAGCTCCATTGAGGGTTGAGCACCCCAAGAAGGACTTGTTGATACAATAGCAAGCTTTATCCATTCTCAAAAGAGGCCCAAAAGAGTCACATACACCAAAAATAATGAGCTCAACAGAGTGGCAGTGAGTCCTAAGCTGTGTAAACAATGTTGTCTTTTTCTTTCCTCCCAACAGTGTGCTCCTGTACCAATTAAATCTAACAACTCAGATCTTTGTTTTTCCACTTCCCTTGTTTAGGTAACCTCACACATTCTTCCTTATCACTTCCCTTTAATATTACTAACGCTCAGTAACACTACGGGGTTGATTTACTAAAACCGAAGAGTGAAAAATCTAGTGCAGCTGTGCATGGTAGCCAATCAGCTTTTAACTTCAGCTTGTTCAATTAAGCTTTGACAAAAAAAAAAACCTGGAAGCTGGTTTCAATGTAGAACTGCACCAGCTTTTGCACTCTCCAGTTTTAGTAAATCAACCCCTTAGTGTCAGATTATTAGATCATTGAGCAACCCATTTACACCCAGTGGCCTGCCTGCCCCAAGGCTTGCCTCACTGTCCAACCCATATTGCTGAAAAGTATTGCATCTGGTGCAGATAGTCCAATCATGTTTATTCCGCCTGCCCCACCCCATGACACTGAAAAGGACTGCAATAGGTCTTAAGGGGCAAATTCATCTGCATGGACACTGCCTATCCTATTGGACACAGCCTCCTACAACTGCTTTTTTTGTGAAGTGATAGGCTGGTACACAGCTTTGCTCACTTGCACTTTGTTTACTGCAAAAGCACAAAGATTGTGACCGACCTCCCCGCACATCCACCATGCCTCTAGGCCGCTACCTAGGTCGCCCTGTGGATAAACAAGCTCCACTTACTTGACAATCAACAAAAGCAACTAAGAATGGCAGACTTACGGTGAACAAGTCATTTGTGGTTTAGATAACATTAGGATACCAAAAAAGTACTGTTACACATATTTCTATTTGTACACTCAATGAGTAGATACCTGTGCACAGAAAATCAGTTTTACATACATCTTATAGATTTGTAAAAACAAATACCTAATACACAAGTGAAAATCAAAATAAAATTGAATAGGGGAAAAAAAAAAAAAAGTTTACAAATGGCCACAATTTTAAGCAGTATGTAAATACACAGTAGAACAGAAACCTACACATCCTTGCAAGAAGTAAAGATGTCCTCCACTAGTTCCATGTCGTTCAGCATTAGAGCAAGACGCAGTGCCTCTGGATAACGGTTAAACTTGCGGAAGATAGAAAGTGCGCAGCGCAAGAGAGCAGAGTTCTCTGGCTCTGGGACATAACTCACACAACAACTGCATGAAAGATAAAGGCATCATGTTAGCCACAATTCCAACAGAGCATTAAAGCAAAAACACGGAATGATCAAAATCAAATGCATAATTTGTCAGGCATACCATGCACAAACCAAGCAAACCACAAAAACATTCACTAGAAATATCAGTGCTTAACAGAAATGATGAACTGCTCTGCAGAAAACACTATTTGCTTGCAGTAAGCCTAAAACATTTGTATAGTTTCACCTGGTCAAATAGAGGCAAACTTTAGCATAGGCATTGTCATCAATGTATTTTTCCAGCATGTCCATTTGCTCTATCTCCATAAGAAGGTCGCAAGCTTCATGTTCAGCATTGTGTGCCATATTATACGGGACTATCTCCTTCACCAAAGTCAGCAGAGTATCTCGCTGAGATTTATCAGATTCCTCCACTTCTTGCCATTCTTTAGCAACCTCACCAGCCAAGTGCCTATGACAGAATACACAGGTCAGTAATAGTGAATAAGACCCATTGGGGTTTATTTACTCAGCTTCTAACCTCAGCTTGTTCAATGAAGCTTTGGCAATGAAACCTGGAAGCTGATTGGTTTCTATGCAGAAGGGAGTCTGATTTTGGACTCTCCAGCTTTAGTAAATAAACCCCATTGTGTCAGAAATCCAGATACATCACTGATTTTCACAAATATCCTGATAACTTAACAAAAGAACAAAACAAAAATTATGATAACTGATTCCACTAGCTATGAATGAATTCAAACCAAAGATTTTATTGTTCACAGGCAACCCAAGCCAAACCACTAAACACACCTGTTTGCTTCTGACACATTGCACCACAACACGATGGGTGCGCTACCATGCTTTGTGATGCACTGCAGTGAGGGCACTTTCTGTTTTTGTATTATGGTGCCATTTAAAACAAATAGCACTGTAAATGTGCTGCAATACGTGCGTTTTACACTGGTTACCACAAAGGTGTGAACAGGTTTCACTAAAAAAATAGAAGAAAAAAAACCAAAAAAAAAAAACAGCCTATGGAAATTTTGTTTAAAATAATAAACCATTAAAATATTTACATAAAAAGTATATGTAATACTATATAAAAAAGGAGTATATAAATGCAAGGTTCACCATTTTACCTGACATATTCATGCCCCCACGAGGCCAGTTCTTCTTGTGAGCCTAACAGTCTGTACTTCAGGCATTCTCTTTCTCCGCTCATAGTCATAGCGAGAACAGAAATGATATCAGCAGCAAACCGCTGTAAAAGCAGAAGATACAATTGTGAAATAGTCACCAGTTACGGATACAGTACCCCTAAATTGACTACATAGTACATGGACGGCATAAAATGTTTTCTAGTTATAACAATGACGAAAAAAAGCCAGTCACCGCACTGTGTGTCCTAAGAAAGCTAATGATTAAAGGTTCAAAAATAAAGATCAAGGTTTCATTAGTTCAAAAAAAAAAAAAAAAAAAGTATGGATTTAAACAAAAAAAAAAAAAAAAAAAAAAAAAAAATTAATTATACTCACCTGCAAAGAGCTGAGTGATCAAACACTGCTGATCACTCAGTTCTCCCCTATACTTTTAGTAGAGAGCCAAGACTGTCAGACACTGGCTCTCTGCTCTGCCCCTCCAGCACTCACTGGAGCGCCGCCAGGCTGAGGAGGGAGTGGCTGGCTCAGTCTCTCTCAGCGGCGCAGCTGACAGGCTGAGCCAGCTGCCAATCCAGGCTTCTGGGTGGATCCCGACCATATGGCTGGGACCTTCTCAGAGCATGGACCGGCTCTGTGATGTCGCAGAACGATCTGCGTGCCTGCGATCCCCATGAGAAGCATAGCCATAATAGCTTTGACTATACTTCTCCATTAAACTACTAAAATTCAGTGTCATGTTGCACTCTGAATACATCCATGATAAAGTTATCTGAAATGAAGGCAATATGTAAGGGATTTGCATATTGCTTTTAAAACCACAACATAAATAGTGTAGACTGCCAATGGGCAAGACATCATATGTAACAAAGGTATGAGTGCAAAATCAAGACGTTTAATGTTTTCAACATGTAGAGGATAGAGACACATACACCGAATATCTGCTCTACTATGCAGCAGCCATAAATTGATGGTTACCCATACTTGGACAAAACTAAAAGTAATGCAACAGAATCAAACACTGCTTATGACAACTGGGCCATGTAGGGGTTCCCTAAAGGACAAAAGCAATTTCTTAAGACAGTTTGGAAAGAATTCTACTCATTTCATGCTGAACCTCTCTCTCACCTAATACTTAATTAAACAAATTAGATTTTCCAGACTTACCCTATTTTCTCCAGGGGTCATACTCTCATATATTTCCTTAAGTTTGCCATAGTGTGGTCGCAAGAATTTCAGAGGTTTTGGAACAGAGGTCATGGAGGTAGTGGAGGATCGGATCTGCCTTCGCAACTCCTCCAAAGCTGGTCTATAAAGGGAGCTGTCCTTCTCCTAGAGTAGAACAACACAGATAAAAAATAAAATCCTTATAAAAAGAATAGAAAAAGGATGGTTTATTTCCATAATTGAATCCCTTTAGGGATCATTCACACAGGCAGATTTTTTTTTTCTGCATGAAAGAAAGGTTCTTGCTGGCAAAGCTAGAAGATCCTGTGCAAAATACGTGACTAAAAAGTACTCACATTTATGCCTGTTTATACACATTTATGCACATGCATGTGTAAAATCTGCAAGTCTATGCGTGTAAAATCTGCATCTGTGTCAAATTTTTTTTTTTTGTGCTCAGCTAAAACACAGCAGACATTTTCAAATGTAGATGCAGCTAGAAGTATAGCTCATTGGTTACTATAGTGCTGTATTTAGACAAGTACAGAACTATCAAAATGCAAATGAATTAGCTCCTGTACAGAACACTGCCAACTAGTAATTCCACATACACTTTATAATAACAAATTAAAGTACTGTGTACCTGTCTCTATCCAAAGCTCGGAGTGCGATTTCTCTTTGCTGCCCTGTTCCTCTGTTATCTGTATGGGCCCCACCGATTTTGAATGTGACAGCGGATTTAGGGGAGCGGAAACCCCACCCACTGTCACAGGGAAGAGGTGAAGGGGGTAAGCAGCAAGGGTACTGGTATGTTGCAACCTAAATATGGGTGTAACACGTAATGTGCTCCAAAAGGTGAATTTAACCTTTAAACACAACCTTAACCACTTCCATACCGGGCACTTTTAACCCCTTCCTGCCCAGGCCATTTTTCAGGTTTCAGCGCGCTCACACTTTGAATGACAATTGCACGGTCATACAATGTTGTACCCAAACTAACATTTTATCATTTTCTTCACACAACTAGAGCTTTCTTTTGGTGGTATTTAATCACCGCTGGGATTTTTATTTTTTGCTAACAAAAAAAAGACCCCAAATTTTGGAAAAAAAAAAAAAACAAACAAACATGTTTTTCTTTGTTTCTGGTATAAAAGTTTGCAAATAATTGTTCTTCATAAATTGCCGTGTCGCAAGGTACAGTATTAAAAAGGTAATAATGGCATTTATAGTTTACAGAAAAACATTGTCTGATAAGCACAAGTGCAGTTGCCATAGTCAACTGACCAAAGAAGAAGACGACATTGCGGAGACTTGTGACCCGGAATAAGAAAACCACTGATACAAAAGTGACTGCAGAGCTCAATTTCAGTCTTCATAGGACTGAGATTGAGCTCTGCAGTCACTTTTGCAGCAGTTGTTTTCTTATTCCGCGTCATAATCCTGCACAATGTCCTTTTGTCTCTTTCAGTCAGTTGACCACGTTGTCCTTGCTTATGCTTATCAGATGACATTTTCCCGAAAACTATATATGCCACCATAACTTTTGATACTGTACCTCACGAAACGGCAAATAAATAGGCAACTTCATTCACAGAGGACCAACAATTTGCCCTCTCTGAAGCTCAGTAAGCTCTGACAGGACTCTGTATTACTAGCAGCACACTCAGTGAATGACAAACGGAGGCTTCCCACCTGTTAGCTAGGTGTCTCATCAGACAGCAGAAGCAAAAGACTGTTACATCACGTCTGCTTTCAAAGTGAAACGTGTTTCACACCTGCAAATCATGGTGTCTCCATTTTTCTGTCCAACCCCTATATATTTTAGGGTAGGCTGCAAAGCTTCCTTTTTTTTTGTCATGTGTCTATACATGCGCTAAGCACTGTTAACCAATATGTGTTTAAAATGTATTAAGATTAGATACAGAAGTGTCTTGGGTAGTGCACTTTTTAGGTGTATTTTTTTGTCAGCCAGTAAAACGTTAATTAAAAAAAATTAAAAAAAAGTTGTTTAAAGTACTGACCCCCAAACGTTCCACAAGCATTTCAAGTTCATCTTGTAGTTGCTTGTCTTCTTCAGACTGTGAAAGAAACAAAAGTTTGTCAAGAATCAACATATAACATAAGAAGACATAACCTACTCTGACTAACCGGAAGGCTTTCAATAATTGAATAAAGAATCATTGCATTTTATATTCACACACAAATATGAAGCAATTTTCTATGAGTTTATGTGGAAACATCAGCTTAGAGCAGGAAGGTTTTAAGGGGAACAAAACTCACCTCTACTCCAGCGATGTGGTGACCAGGAACTCCTTGCCAGCCACTCTGCTTCTTGATTTTCATGTCCGGCAAGTCTTTGTCCTTTGCCTGTTTTTAATGGCCTGGCAGAGATAGTATCACTTCCATGCATCTGACTTGGACCCCTGTAACAGGTGTTTGGTCAGTCTTTCCATCCAAAAGTCTATTTCTGGCAATGAAGGTTGCTACCGGAGCTGAGGCCATGACAGATGTGTTAGCATCCCATGCTGTCCTTAGGAGGTATCCAGACCATAGGTCCATCTATTACTTAATGCACCCTGAATCCTCGAAGGAGAAATCAGACCTCTTGGTAACTTGCGACATCACAGCATCTAACCTCGAAAGCTCAAAGAATCTATTCCTCCTCCTGGCTTGGGCTGGAGGAAGCATCTGGGAAGATGGGAGGAAAACTGGGGCCCCCTCTGGAATTTAGGCTTTCCTGTGATGACGACCCTTCCTTAGGGGTTAGCTCCTCTGGGCCTGGGCCCTGCAGCTGTACCATTGAGGTTTGAAAAGACTGGATGGTGGCTACTATATCGGCTTGCATAGATGTTAGGAAATCTTTCATCAAGCCTGAAGCCTCTTTCCCGCCAGCTTGTTTATGCATCTATAGCAAAATGGTTTAGGATGGGGACATAGCTAGCTTCTCCCCACAATAACCATATTTCCTTGAGGAGCTAGAGCCCGCGGGTACAGAAGGTGGTCTACCAGGGGCCTCCTGGGTTCCACTTGGGGATTCTGAAAGAGAGATGAGAAACACCAATTGCTTAGTCCAGGGGTGTCAAACTGGCGGCCCTCCAGCTGTTGCAAAACTACAAGTCCCATCATGCCTCAGCCTTTGGGAGTCATGCTTGTAACTGTCAGTCTTTCAATGCCTCAGGGGACTTGTAGTTTGGCAACAGCTGGAGGGCCGTGAGTTTGACACCTGTGGCTTACTCTCTCTCTTCCCATCTCCCTCTGGCTGCCGAGTTAACATATAGTTAACTAGGAAAGGATTGGGGTCCCCACCCAGTTTGACCCAACAAGGTCCATCTGGGCCCCCTCTTCCCTCCTAGCATTCCTCTTCAAGAAAATCACTCACCGAGCCCCAACTTAAACTTGCCCTCAGTCACCAGTGCTGCATCCCTTCCTCCTTCTGTATGAGGTGGTTCGGCCCAGTCTCTGCTGCAGATGCCAGGTGTGCTGTCCTGGACTGTCATCAGACCGCTGTGAGCTGGCCTGCTGTCCTCACACCCCAGCGTCCTCTGGCGTCTCAGTTCTCTTATGGAGCACGCCATATTCCTGGCCCAGCCCACTTCCGGTCAAATGGCCGGAAGATCCTGCTGACGCCAGAATGAGGCTTGGAGTGCGCCCTCTTTCCTGCAATCCACTGAGTGCTGGAACCATGTGAGGGAAGAGATAGAGACAGCAACAGGGCAGCATTTCAACACACAGTGACAGTCACACTCCCCTGAGACCGGAGCGCTGGTGCCAACTGGGGGCAACCTGTTAGAATGAGCCTGCGGGCTAGTTTAGCCATTCCTGGCCTCCGTATACCTACCTCACAGTAGTACCATCCAACCCTCCCCAGTCTTCTGGTCACAAAAACAACAAACGTCCCATTGTAGGGAGAAACACAATCAATACTGTAGGACAAGGCGAAGGGAGGGGGCTTATAACAGCCGTAAATTGATTGTGTTTCCTGTAGGGAGGAGCCTCATCTCTCAGGTGTGCCATCCTGGCAGGTGATAGGAGAAATCATTCTAATGAGTACAGTTAAAACCTCTCATTATGCTCGAAAAAAAAAAAAAAAAAAAAAAAAAAGTGTGAGCCTTATAATGCAATATAGAATATGATGCATTGTTATAGTACTGCTCAATTTAAAAAAAAAAATATTCAAGTAAAATAATTAAACTGTTTATTATGTTATTCCTAGCACTTATCTCAAAACTGTTAATAGAAAGATGAATGTCCAACACAACAAACACTTTACTCCTGCGCTAGGAAAGGACTCAGTAGACCCAATAGGAATGTTCTGGAATTTTCTGGAATATGCACTGCTTGCTGCCTTCAACAGACCGGGGTGGTCCGAATACACTGGATACAAATGGAGAAACAGAAAAAGGGCGCACCGACCTAGTGCATTATCGTTTAAAATAATTTATTAAAGAAACAAAAATAGGTATCATATTCACAATGGACATAATAACACAGGCATGTCAAACTGAACAAGGTGTATGAGCCAACTCTGGCTCTGAGGAAGAGGTTGTGTCCTCGAAACGCGTTAGCCAGTTGGTCATCCAGGGTTCCATCGTATGGACTCAGATGTTGTTTGGATCATACACCTTGTTCAGTTTGACATGCCTGTGTTATTATGTCCATTGTGAGTATGATACCTATTTTTGTTTCTTTAATAAATTATTTTAAACGATAATGCACTAGGTCGGTGCGCCTTTTTTCTGTTTCTCCATTTGTATCCAGAAAGATGAATGTCCCTGTTTGCTGGTGGAATTTATCATGAATACTCTATCCACAAACTGCATAATAAACCTATAGATGAAGTTTTAGTGGCAGATTAATGCCATCCTCTCTGCAGAGCTGATAGCAGTTGCATGCATCCACCATGGACCTGCGTACAGGCAGTCCATAAAAGTGGATGCACATGCAACGCCCATATGGACACAATCACATGTCAAAGTCTGACATGTGGGCACGAGTGAGTGCATGGATATGAACACAGAGGCTCTGTTCCCAAAGTAAAACTTTGACATGCGATTGTGTGTGTGCCAGCGCTGCATGTGTTTCCACTTCTATAGGCTGCCTTCAGGTAAAACCTTTCAGAGTTTAAATGGTTAATGTCCTGTTTGTAAATATATTTTTACAGTCAGTCCTTTCCATTTTCAAACTCTGATAGCACAACAGCCTTTCTTAACCACTTGCCCTCCAGAGGATTTACCCCCCCCCCCCCCTCTTCCTGACCAGGCCATTTTTTGCTGCCCGGCACTGCGCCATTTCAAATGGTAATTGCGCGGACATGCAATGCTGCACCCAAATGAAATTTATGTCCTTTTTTTCACACAAATAGAGCTTTCTTTTGGTTGTATTTGATCACCTCTGCGGTTTTTATTTTTTGCGCTATAAACAAAAAAATTCCGGAATGTTTGAAAAAAAATTATATTTTTAAATTTTGGTTATAAAAAGTATCCAATCAACTCAAAGTTAGTTATAAATTTAGGCCAAAATGTATTCTTCTACACATCTTTGGTAAAAAAAAAATCTCAATACATATATAATAATTGGTTTGTGTGAAAGTTATAGCATCTACAAATCATGGTATATACATTGGTATTTACGTAGCTTTTACTTTCTGACAGCCCATCACATTTCTTGAGGTGCTAAAATGCTAGGACATTACAAATCACCCCCCAAATGACCCTTTTTGGAAAGTAGAAACCCCAAGGATTTTTCAGAGAGGTATGTTGAGTCCATGGAACATTTTATTTTTTGGCACAAATTTTTGGGACTTTTTTTTTTTTTTTTTATTTACACAAAAGTTGTCAATTCAATGATATATTGCTCATGCATGGAAATTGTCTGGCAAGAGCTGAATTTGGCTGGGCGGCCATGTATTGTGGTGTGTATAAATTGCCTTGGCCCACAATCAATTGGTACAAATCTTCCGTGAAAAACAGCGCAGGGGCTAAAGGCTAGTGCTGGCAGCGAATGGGGCCGATCCTGCTAACTCTGCGTTTTTGGCGACACTATACAAAAGGAGGAATTATACCAGCAATAGAGGTAATCAGCAACCTATAGCTTGAGTGTGATAGCGTGTGGGCAATCTAACGCTAGCTGACCCTGACGCTATCTGATGTCGCTAGTGAAAGGAATGCAGTGATAATTGAAAAATTCTATATACGGACAGTGTACTAATGGCACTGGTTGGGTGACGGGGTGATCAAAGGGTTAATAGGGGCGATTGAAGGGTTAAATGTGCTAATCTAACACGTGTGTAAAATCTAGTGCTTTTACTCTGTGCCGTGTTCTCTCTTCTCTCCCTGGAACAACAGCTGGGGGGGGGGGTCAGCGGCGCGCACAAGTGAGCTCACACCCCAAAACAGGTAGTGACAGAAGATTACGTTGCTTTGCCAAGAGCTGCTGCTTGCCCGCAAAATTAGCAAGTAGTTAAAAAAAAAAAAAAAAACATACTGAGAATTTTTTTTAAGAGTTTTTTATTATTTTTTTTTTTTAATACTTTTATCAGAATAGTACAAAGTTACCATAGTAACACTGTACTACTGTGGGAGGGTGATCAGGGATTTTATTTATTTTTTTGTTTTTACACTTTGCTTTGCAGAAGAAATAAAGATAATTTATCTTGCAATGCAAAGCTTGCTGTCATGAACCTAACTCATTCATGAACTGTCATAAATGAGTTAAGTTTTGACAGCTCAGGATAGCGATCTGTGATTGGCTGGAGCTGGTCACATGGTAAAGGGTGCTGTAATTGGCCCCATGTATCATGTGTGTGATAGCGCTGAAAGCTGAAAATTGCCCTGGTCAGGAAAGGGGTAAAAGTGTCCGGACTGGTAGTGGTTAAAAACCTGACCAGGCAATTTTTCGCGATACGGCGCCGCGACACTGACAATTGCGCAGTCATGCGCACCCAAATTACATTTATGTCCTTTTCCCCCACGAATAGAACTTTCTTTCGGTGGTATTTAATTGCCTGTGCGTTTTTTATTTTTTACGCTATTAAAAAAAAAAT